ACACACACACACACACACACACACGCACACACAGGAAGACTCAGATAAGTCAGATAATTCCAGGGTCAGGCACTAATAATATTAGTGCTATACCCCTAACAGATCTCTTGCGGACTTGCATTGCCCAAGGCCTCATAGTACCCTTCAGGAGAAGAAACATTTGTACTGAAGCGCTAAGTGGTTGATATTACTCCAAGTTTGCTTGTATGCATTTTTTTCTCCAAAAACAAAAAGTACCAGTGAGAACATAAACAAATTATGAATGATATCTATCATTTAACCTTCAATTAGCCTAGATATTTGATGTGGTAGTTACCGTTTTGAACTAATGGGAGTTACAGTATAATACATTGAAAAACTTTTTTTAGCCTGTGTAACAAATTATTGCAAGATTTCTCTTCTTGTAAGAAAATAGAAGTTTCTTTTCAAAGTGTTGGAATTGCTTCATGTCTTATCCAGAGTCTTGCTGAAGATTACCTGCGTTGCCAGCGTCTAAAGGAGTTTGCTGCATTTTTGGTTTCCCTGGAGCACTCACCACTGGAGTTTGATAATGACAAAGGAGAATTTTCAGCAATGATTAAAAGTACACCAGTGTCACCTGTAAAGGAGTCACAAGTCATGGTTCACTTGGACACATCACCACAAAATGAACATGAGGTTTGTACCTTAACCATCTACACCCTAACATCAGTATGTGTATTCTTCATACATTTCTCCATGCATTTCCTGTGGTACTTACAAGGAGAATTTGTCTGATAATCAGGAGCTTCTTAAGTTTGTGATCATTTCCTCTACTCTCATGACCTTACTGTTTGACTCAGAGGTGATAAACCTTTGGTCAGCTTTGAATTCTAGTGGTCTCACTGATTGTGTTCACAATGGGCTGTGTTAGGGCTGGATCTAGCCAGTCCATCTGATTCAAATTTCCAGCCAGAGCAGGCACTATACCAGTAAATCATATGTATGTCCTCACACAATTTTGTAAGGTTTAGCAGAAGAAAAATTTGAACATCTAATTAAAATATTTTTGTTTCATATAGGACTCAGATGAGGAGGCTGATGTTATCATTGAGAGTGAAGAAGAACAGCTAGACTCAGGGTATGACTGTCATTATACATCACAAAATACACCTTACAGTAAATAGCTTGAACCAGAAGGCAACACGATGGTGTTGTGGGATCATACAGGTGAATGTAGTCCTGAGAAGGACTGTTGTCAGTAGCAGTGACTGACATTTCAACAACCTATTGTCATTGTCAGTCAAATGTTTTAAGTCTGGTTCATTTAAATCGACTGGTCAATGTAGCCATGTTGTAATTGGTTGTAAGACTCACCTCGTTGCTCATTACATTTGTTGCATGTTGGTAGTCAATCTCCATTTATAATAATTTTTTCTACAATTGTGAAATTTTTCTTGAAAGTTGAAATATGTAGATGCTGTGATGTGAAATATTTTTTTTAAGTGCATCAAAACAGACCTGAATGAGTTGACAATGATGCACACTTTTACTTATTGTAACAAATGCAATGCTTTTTTTCATTTTGACACAGTTTATGAAGTGTTTTTAAAACATGGCCTAAATTTTTGCATTTGTTGTTTGTCATATGCATGAATTTTTCAAAATTTTGTTATCTTCAGTTGCTTATTTGTCATTTAAAGAAACTATTATAATTTAAGAGAAAGTTTTACAATACCAAAACCTCTTTGATATCACCTTTGGTGTTTTTTTTCTCCTTTTCCTTCAGTTGATAAATTACATTTTCATTGGATTTTGTTTGTTTGGTAACCAGGATGTTGATAATAACCATACCTGAGGTGTTTGTGTTCTTTCATGTGTAAGACGCATAGCATTGTGCAAGACACACTTGTTTTGTGTTGTGACACTTTTTCTACTAAGCTGATTGGCAACAAGTCTTTGGAGATCATGCAATGTTGTAGGTTGGGGGCAAATTGACTGTGCATGCTAATTCATTTAGCATTTCATTAACTTTCCTTACTGACACATGACAAATCACAATCTCCTGGAATTTTTGCTTTACAGTGATGAAGTGGAGAAGGACCTGAAGGAACTCAAGGTAAAACTTTTCTTTACCTACTGGTATTTAGTAAATTATAACACTTTTTTCCAATAAGTACTCTAGAGTGAGAGAGGTCCTTATAATCTTTGTGCTCTCTTGTTCAGGCCAAAAAAGATGCCTTGAAAAAGCAAGTGGAAATTCACAAAGAAAGAGAAGATAGGGCAAAGGTAAGTTCCCTAAGGTTTATCTTTAGTTCCATAAACTCATTATAAGCAAGTCACAGATTACAGCTGTTACTGCCTTTCTCTGTGTGTATGTGTTCATACCAAAGCCTTTCCATACATTAAAGAAGTTTGCAAGTTGAACTAGCATCCCTATCATTGCTGTAACAGTGTCCTGAGAGTTCCATCTCATCCTAAGATATAAGAATTTAGTCAGGGAATTAATGAATACACAGACCAATCTACAATCTCTCGTTGTATCCTTAAAAAAATTGTGATGATTTGAGGAAGTGAGGTAAGTTGAATGTCTTTGCAGATTTAGACAGCACAGAATTGGACCACTGATCCGAATTTCCTAGTGTATAAATAATTTAAACTTCCCCATTCAAAGTTTGCTGACAGATTTGTGCTAGATTGGGGGGAGGTTAGCCATAGATTTAAATCTGCTGTGATGTACTTCTGACAATGATTCATTCAACTGACTGTAGGCAGTGATAGAGGAACACATTTCTAAGCCACGTCTAATGTTCGAGAACTACCCAACATACCTGGTACCAGACACTAACTGCTTTGTGGATCATTTGGATGGGGTCAAGGCCATTGTAGCCAGTCAGGAGTTCACTCTGGTTGTGCCACTCATTGGTAAGTGAATTGAAGTGTTGGCTTAACCGCTCTTCTTACATCCCTCCATTATTTTTTGTCACCTTGAGTGTGTTAATTGTGTTTTGTCTTCTGCAGTAATTAACGAGCTTGATGGTCTGAAGAAAGATGTCCTCCTTGATAAATGCGACAATTTACAGCATGCTCAATATGTCTTAGAGAATGCCAGGTGTGTATGTATTAACAACACAGTCTCTCTTTCTCTCTCTTTCAAAGGTTCCAATGGATAATTGAGAAAGAAAAGAGAGAATGTCTGCTCATTTATTTTCTGAGCACTTCATGATAACCTCTCCCAAAGAAACTAAACACCACTTTGTCAGTAGCTCATAGGTGTAAAGTTTATGGAACCTGACATTTCCTTAAAGATGCTGTAGAAGCAATAAGTTAGATGCTTTACCATGATGCTTGCTAGACTCCTGTACAAATTCTTTTTGGGGTCAAACCCAAGGAACTTCTGCATCAGAGCCTCTTAGCTTATTTGTGATGCTTATGACTGAAGAGATGGACAGTTTTAAGTACCTAATTGCTTTAATTTACAACTCTATTAGTATTTACATTATGTTTTTATTTTTAAACTTTTATATAAAGAAAGAAAGGAAACAACAACAGACAAAACTCTGAAGAAACTTTTGTAAATGGTATCTTTTTCCTTATGTCTATAGATTGGCAATTCATTTTCTTGAGAATGACTTTAGCCAGAGAAATCCTCAGGTTAAAACAGTGACTAGCAAAGGAACAGAGCTGGATACAATTCAATTCAGAAGTGAGGATCCTTCTGGAAGAAAGGTGACATTTCATCACATCCCAAGTATCATAAATATGTTGCATTAACAGATAGCTCAGACTGAGAACTGATTAAGTGTTCATGAGACACAGATGATGTATGTAATGTTTTCAACACCACAATCTGAAGAAGCTCCTAATTTAGAAAATCATAATAATAAATTAATTAATCTAATATTGGGATCCTTTGGAATAGCTCTAAACAAAAACTGATCTCGAGATCCTTTGGGAGGGTTTTCTAAAACACTGCTTTTGAACTATAAAACTTTATAATGACTACAAATTGTGGACAAGATTATTTGACAAAGAATGTCACCAGGTCCCATAGGTTATGCAGCAATAGCAAATTAAAGTAATTATTATTTTCTTTTATAAGTACTTGTCTCTGTAAGTGTTTTTCATTACAAGTTCTTGAACACCTTCCACACAGTTTTTGTAATCCAAGTCTTTCTAATACAATCTTTACATGCTCCATGCCTTGTGGTATTTGGGACTCAGAAGGACTTTCCAGCAAGGAGTAGGGGGGAGAAGTTACCACAGGTCTCTTTTGACATTTTGAAGCAGCCTGAAATGATATCTTTTGTAAATTATCACTTTTTTGATGTAGAGGGGGGGGGACACTTGTATCCTAATACCTCCTCCCAGCCACACCCTTGGGTGCCCAGTTTAGCACCACTTACTGGTACCAGAGATGGGCATTTCTTGGTTTATTCATTACTTGTATGCTAACTAAAACTTTTTGGTCCTGACATGTATTGATTGTTTCAGGGCAAGGGGTGCAATGATGATGTCATTCTCTCCTGCTGTCTACACTACTGTGAAGAGAACTTTATCAACCGATTGGCCACAGGTATAATTTTCTTTGTCAGAAAATGTTAGAGCATATTGAGGGCTGAAATGATGTTGTAAAGTGTTTTAACTAAAATGGTGCTTTCAATCTTTTCCCTTGCATTTCCTATGGATTTCAATTTCAACATAACACATGGTGCATATTTTGGGATACAATTGCTAAAATCTTGAATAAAAGTGAATTGATAAAAAAGTGTTTTTCAATTGAATGTTCGGTAAAATTGAAGAACAGCTCCCCAAAATATCTGTCAGCCAACTGTCGGCCGACTGTTCACCGACAATTGGCCGACATAATGAAAACAAATTCAGAAACGAGTAAATAGACTGTCATCTTGGTAAGTTTGAACTTTCACAATTACCTCAATATGAATTTTGACTAACACCATGCGATAGAGGTAAATTTTGAGTGCAAGGCATTATTGGCCACACCAATCTTCATTTACTTGAACTTGTTGTGTAGTATCTGACTGACACATTTTGTTCTGCTGAAATTGGAAGAGTTAAGTTACTTAGATTTAGCAATACGAGTAAATTTTTTCAAAGACTCACAAAATTGCATGAGCCCGTGTTTTCATTGTGTTTCTGTTGTGTTTTCATTGTATTTTCAGTGTTTTGTTTGCCAACAGTTGGCTGACAGTTGGCTGACAGATATTTTGGGGAGCTGTTCTTCAATTTTACCGAATGTTCTAGAACCAAAACCAAAGTAATTGCAACTGCTAATCAGTAGAAAAGAAAATAGCTACAAAAGCCCATAAGAACTTAAAGTAAAACCAACCAAACTGCCTAAAGTGCAAGCAAAAGCAATGGACCTAGTCATGATTAGTTTTAGTTTTCCTTCTGATTGGTGGAGAGATTGGTATAAGTTTTCAAAACCAATCACAGAGCAAAACACTTAGTTAAACATTGTTGCAATGTAGATTGTTTCCTATTTTGTTTCTCTTGTTGTCAAAGTTTGTGAAGATTCATCACTGGCGGAACATTTATGAATTTATTTTATTTTTATCCTGCCCAACATTGAAGCTAAATAAGAGAAGAAGAATGAGGATCTGAAAGAAGTTACCACCCCTATTCTTTTTGTGGTCTATGCTCAAATTGGAGAGGACTAGTTGGATTTGAATTATTGTTACATTTTTTGTAAGAAATATACAACTACTTTTAGAGACATGTTTCGGCATGCTTATGCCATCTTCAATCATGAAGGCTCAATTCATGAAGATGGCATAAGCATGCCGAAACATGTCTCTAAAAAAAGATGTATATTTCTTACAATATTTATCCTACTTGCAACTACTACGACCTTGTTACATTTTTCACAGCAAATCAACCAATAACCATTCAAAGGAAAGTGGTACTGCTTACAGACGACAGGAACCTGAGAGTGAAGGCTTACACCAGGAATGTCCCTGTGCTCACAATACCCCAGTTCAGACAAATGGCTCGATTGTGACAAGAAATGAGAGGGGTTTTGTTTCAGGCTGAAGCAGGAAAGATTTCATGACTCACTGTAGTTATTGTATCAGGATCTGATATAGATCTACTAAGAGGAGAGCTGGCTGATGCTAATGGATCCAATGCTGCAATGGTGAATGACGTGCTTGTCACAACTTCTTCATCCACCCCTAAGCATTCATGGATAAATATACTCCACTCCACAACTGTTTTTATATATTAAAGTTTCTGAACTAATAAAATGCTACTAGTGTCCCTATCGTAAGGGGTACTATCATTTTAAAAAAGTGAGTAAGTTATGGTGTATTTCTATTTCCACTTAACAGGCACATCTCACTCACATCTCAACACTGTTTACTATTTACCTTAGGTTCTGACAAGGAGAAATTGACTAACAACCAAGAGCTTCTTTAGTTGGTGATCATTTCCTTTATTCTCCTGACCTTAATGTTTGATTCAGGGGTGATACTGTAAGGAGAAAGCAAGGCTGTGCTCTAAGGAAAATTGAATGGAGCCCAGTGCTTTGAAACCATGAAATCCAGGGTGCCCAGCATATGCTTCATATAGAAAGACTAAAATTCCTGAGTTGCCCAAGAGCAAAAGTAAGGCGCCAGGGGCTACCGGGCACTGCTAGACCACAGCCTTGAGAAAGGACATGCCCCTCACTCTTCAGGGTCAGAGGGTTAAATTTACATTTGATTTCTTAGTGCTCACCTGTATTACCTAGGAATTTCATTCAGTCACAGCTTGTCTTTGACATTAGTCAGTTAGACAGTTGGAATCCACCAAGCCCCATTTTTTCAAGAGTGGGTAATGCTATCTTCTTGATAGCAGAGAGTGCTTTTTACACACTTACTGAGAGGTGAACTGAATTATGCTTGCATGACATGTGGCAAAGCATAGCACCCTGGCTTCTGGAGGGGAGTTGGGGGGCATCCTTCTGGAAAAGTTGAGATACGAAACTCTTTTGAGAAATGACTTCCAGCATTCAGACAACTTTTTAAGACAGACATTGCTGAAAGAATCAGTTCAAAAATGCTTCTTATCTATCTAAGATCACAATACAGTTACTCACACAAAATAGTCAGACAGCAAGCAGAGTCCTGTCCCCTACCAGCTTCTCATGACAATCCTGCATTTGTCCCCTGGATGGAAATGCTCACAGGGTGAAATTAGAGTCAAGCAAAGGGAGAGTTTATGTGATTTGAGAAGTGAAACTAGTTTTTGGAAACATCACACAAATCTCAGTAACAACCTCTCTCTCCCCCACCCCCCTCCCAAAAAAAAACTTGTGCATTCCTATCCATACCAATTTCAGCCTATTTACTCTACATGCATCACTTGCACTCCAGCTCCAATTTTACAAAAAGGTCATCATATAACTGAGCATCATTTCCTAGGTGACCTTTTTGAATTGCTGGTTAAATAAAGGTTCTTCAAACTACTAGAACTTTTTCATTGACAATTCTCTTTACTAAGTCAGTATCACTCTACTCTGCAATCTAGCGTGATTGACAGCTGCCCAGTAGGAAATCACTTAACACTAATGGGAGTCAACCCCACAAAAATACAGCACATGCCAAACAGGCTACCTTTAATTAGGATTTGATTTTGTTATTTCAAATCATAACACCATAATGTCTGATGGCAGGTACCGTAAGTATCACTTACACCCAGGGTTAAAAAACAGACACAGATCCTGGAGGCTACAAAGATTTATTTGTATTCAGGTAGAATTGCCTAATCAAACAAGCCAAATCCCATGTCATCATCAGATTCTTCTTCCTCCTCTTCCTTCTTCTCTTCTTTCTTTTCCTCCTCTGCCTTCTCACCCGCAGGAGCAGCAGCGCCCCCACCTGATGATGCTGCTGCCATCACAGCACCACCTGTTGGAACTGATGCCAGCTTGGATTTGCCTGCTTCAATCACCTAAAAATGACACCATTTGTCTTAAGATGCATCCATATTTGGAAAAAAAAGTTACTAAATTCTAATGGTTGTCCCTGTTTTGAAAATGCCAACAGCTGTTTCACACTAACAGAAAAATTTGGGGATTTGGCAGCTGCTTTGAAAGTCTGTCAGTCAGTCTTTCTAAATTTGAACAAACTTATCTGCACACGGAAAAAACACTCATCGAACATAAAAAAAAAAAAAACAGTTCTTTGCTCATTGTTTAAATTTAAGTTAAGACTTCATCAGAAAGGTGATTAACCAATTTATCATATCTCTCAGTTGGTGCATGCACAATGATTGGTCAATTTAGTGAGCCGCATTTCACTATACAGCAGCCCTCTAACTTCAAAAATTTTTGTTTGGAATGAATTCCTTCCCCTCTCTTAGAACCCAGTGATGTAATAAATATTTGACTAATCTTGTTTTCTTCGCCCATTCTGTAAGATATAGAACCTTATTTTTTTTCTACCTGACTTATCTGAGGGAAAAATACCCAACCCAAAACTTAAAAAAGGGACCTCTAATTCAGTAGGTAAAAGGTTTATATCCTTTGAATTAAACACCCCTTATAATTATTGGAATTTTCAAGGATATATCATTGATGGGCATGCCAAGCACTTAAATCTACCTCATTGATATCCTTTCCACTCAACTCCTTCATGACTACATCAAGTTGATCTGACTCAACATCAATGCCAACACTTCCAAGGATGGCTGTGATGTCTGATGCAGATGGATTTTTGTTCCCTCCAAGGGTGGCAAGTAGGTAAGCGGCCACGTAACGCATCTGGAAAATAGTCATAGGTTAAATCCATCAAGGTTTGCTATGAATAATTAGTTATCAGTCAACCTCATTGCCTGAAGAAGACTCGCAGTATGTGGTCAAAATTTCACACATCCCCAGTGACCATAACATGGGACAAAGGGTTACACTTCTCTTTTGAATTAGTTATCAATTAAGGAATATATCTCCAAATGAAAAGGATATCAGTTTTCAATCTTTCAAAATCATCTTTTAGTAAGTGTAATCTGTGACAGGCTCTTACTTAGTGGGAATGGGCCAAAAAATAAGTTCCAAAACGTTATTGGGGTTGTCACCACTGGTCCCTTGCAAGCTTCTCTCATGGCAAAGGTCAGCGCTACGTCTGTCTATCTTATCACTAACAAAAACAGAATACCCAGCTTCCTTTAGTTGTTAATGTTGCATTTAACTGCATTTAAACACAGCATTGGTATGTACTGAAGATTGGTGGTTCCACAGCCAACCCAGACCAGATAATCCCCTCAATCTTAAACCCAGGCCCTCGCACCAGGCTGAGAGGACCTACAAATTGACCAGGGGACACCTCGAAACATAAGGGGTGTGCAGCTTTGGATAGAAATCTCAGCTCGTAAACCTGGGCCCAGTTATTCAAAGGCTAGAAACCTTATCTGACAGATAAATCACTATCCAGAGGATAAGGGTTAGCAAAATGGGTCATGCAATCCACTGGATACAGATTTATCCAGTGGAAAGCATTATTCACCTTTCAACAACTGGGGTTGGGTAAAATTCCCCCTCAGAACTGAAGGCAGATTTCATCCAACCAACCAACCAACCAACCAGCCCAGCATGGTTTATTAGGAGGAAGAAACCTTCAAGGAAGCATGGCTAACTTCCAAAGGATCCTCCTCCCTGAGCTCATATAATTAGTCCTTTCATAATCAAGAAAATCTAATCTCCCCCACTCGCCACAACAAATGTATGAAAGCTCAAAGTAAACCTTTGAACACAGCATACAAGCGTTGATTTTCACAATGCAACGTGGTCGACTAGATGTACGTATGTGTCGCATATTTGGAGTTTTTTTTTTTCCCCACAAAACGTCTACATTACTTTATTCTTTAAAGACTAAGGACTTTTCTACTCACTTTTTAAGTCAACTAAGACACGAAACGATGTGCACGCCACAAATGAATGTTCTCAAAGTTTTCGAATGTTCGTCAAATCGGACAAACGAGAGAGAAAGACCGAGGGCACATGTCACAGTTATCACTCCGGGGTGGACCAGAGAAGAGTGCAGGGCATATTGCCAGGTCGCATGGATATTCAACATGGCGGACAGAATAACTCAGTTGCAAGATGCATTGAACCAGGTTATTCGCCTTTTGATTATTCTTCCATGGTGGAAAAAGCTATAGTAACATCAAATTTTCTAATTATGTTTTTCGTACGTCATGTGAAATGAAAATCATCATCTTTGCTGCTTTTATTCCTGTCCACAAAGTAAACCAAGCTTTATGGTAATTTTGTTTTGCGATGTTTTCCAGCTTGCAGATCAATTTTGTAACAGTGTGGGTATATTACAACAGACAGCTCAACCTGGAAACGTTTTTTCTGGTTTTGAAAAAAGTAAGTTTTCTTTTCTGTAAATTAGAATTGTATTGAGGCGCGGGATTGCAGAAAATTCATTACGTTTTTATTTCAAAGAACGAGTCATGCTGCAGCTGTCACGTATTATTAGTAAAGAGATTTTTACATAAGCAATGATTGGGTTTATGAATAGGACAATGTGTGACCCCTGTTTGGTTTAAAATCTATCAAAGATCCTAAAATTTGTGGCTTATTTTATTCCTCTGTTACTAAGCAAGCTTCAGGTGGTATTTTATGGGGGACAGACAGTAGACCGAGTGTCTCCCCTCCAAAGTTAAAAGCTTTTTTTGCTAAAACTTCTTGTTATTTGTTACTAATTGTTGAAAATTTTGTGGGCAAAGGAAAGTTTAAATCTCATGCCTCTCTAAGTTAACAATTAAAGTTTAAATCTCATGCCTCTTTAAGTTAACAATTTAAATGTGTTGGGTGCTGAACCACAATTTTAGTTAAGGGGGTAAGTTTCTAAAGAAACTATAGTGCTGCGTCAGTAGGGGTAACAAGGCAATTTGATAATTTCAGCTAAGTTGAAAATGTAAATTGGCGGCTGTAAAGAGTTAAAAAAGCTGGTGTTTCGAACGTTGGCCCTTCGTCATTCGCTCTGACTGTATTATTCCTAGAAGCCACTAAGGTTAATAACTCGAACAGCACACCGTCACCCTTCGAACTCCCACTTTTTCTCACATACACGCACACTCTCTCGGTCACCTGACCACTGAGTATAGTCCCGGATGTCCACAGGACACCACACTGATGAAGGGCTAACACTCAAAACGTCAGCTTTTTTAACTCTTTACAGTGGCCAATTTACAATTTAAACTTAGTGGATATTACCAAATTACACAATTTTAGTTAGTCATTGAGGCCATTCCAAATCCCACACCTTTCAGATGCCATGTTATGATTTCATTTATATCTTTCTTATCTTGTCTTTTTAGTCTAAACTTTAAGTGAGATTCTTGTCATCCCTCTTGGATTTATGACCCAAACACAAAACAAAACAAAAAAATCATAGAAGTAAGGAAGGTAATAAGCTGAGGCAGTGACTTGCAGTACAGACCATGAACTCTCCCAGTAATGGATATTTATTTCTCATTTTATTTTCAGATGGTGACAGTGGTGATGTGACTCAAGAAGGTTGGTTAAACTGAAGCAAAGTTGAGATTTAAACATCCATACACGATAGTTGATCTTTTGATATTTTTTTCCATTTGATTTTGGTGGTCAATCTTAGGAAAAGTGTGGAGGTGCAGTGGCCTCACGGTTGGTGCACTCGACTCCAGATCAAGTGGTCTGGGTTCGAGCCCTGGCCAGGGACATTGTGTTGAGTTCTTAGGCAAGACACTTTACTCTCACAGTGCCTCTCTTCACCCAGGTGTTTAAATGGGTATCGGCAAATTTCATGCTGGGGGGTAACCCTGCAATGGACCAGCATCCCATCCAGGGGGGAGTAGAAATACTCTTAGTCGCTTCATGCTACAGAAACCAGAGTTAAGCACTGGCCTGATGAGCCACTAGGCTCGTAAACAGACTTAACCTTTATCTTAGGAAAAGTCATCTGACATCCCTTCAAGGTTAAGTTTGACAATCATTGGAGTTTCCAGAAAGTCAAGATTTCTTGCAAAATTATTCATCTTTTGTCTCCCACCATTCAGTGCCTCCGCTTTGGTACTCATTTTGATCATAAGAAAAGTCATCTTGGATTCTGTTAAAGGTTAAGTTTAACAATCTTTCAAGATTCCTCCTGGGTAGGGATACAATACAATACAATACAATGTTCTTTATTTCAAGAGGGTAAATACATGATTAACCCAGTAAAGAGTTTTCTAACACGTGGCCCTCTGTAAACCCACCCAAACCCAACCAAAGGGAGGACATCCATCACACAGTAATCTCGTGTGTGGGAAATTAACGTCTCCTACCCCAACCCCTGCAGGAGATGGGACCTCCATTTATTCATCCCTATCCGATAAGACTAGAATATCTAACCATTTCTTGATGTTATAGAGAGGCAGCAAATTCTTCTCGATTATTTCAAGACCCTGAGTGTTGGTCCGGCCGGGGCTCAAACCCTCAACCTCCCGCACAACAGTCCAGCACTCTATCCATTGAGCTAACCGGGAGGCGGTTAGGGATTGTCGTGTGTTTCCCTACTAACTCTACTTTTGACCATTCCCCTCTCCAAAATGTACTTTGCTGAAAAAAAAAAAAGGAACACACCAACTACAAAGGCTACTTAAAAGCAAGGTACCCGCATTAAAAGCCAAAGTTACCTTCTTTTAGTGATTGAATGATGTTGCAACAATGGACAATGATTTGCCTTTAGGACATGCTGCTTTGTTTGCCACTCTTATTGCAAGAACTGCCAAAGACATTGATTTCCTAATTGAGTCTCTTCCAAGTGAGGAGTGTTCACCAGAGCTTCAAGTAAGATTGATGTATTTTGTTTTCTTTATTTGTTTGTTTGTTTGTGTGCACTCATTCTTCTTCCTCAAGCTGTGGCTTAAAAATATTGTTACCAGTAGAAGTCAGCATCAGTAAATGAAAAGGTTATTTGAACTTTTTGCTTCAGACATTTTGTTACTTAACCCTTAGTTAAACTCCCATGACAGAATTTCTTCTCAAATATCACACATTATCAAGCAGACAAGCAATGAGACTAAAAAAAAAGTATCAATTAGGGGATTATTAGTTGATCCAATACCAAATTCTCAAAACTAACATGAGAATTGTATAGCAGACTGTAAGGAGAGTTAGTAATGAGATCGTGGGAGTGAAAGGTGTTCCTTTACAGTACTTAGTAATGCACCCAACCTCAAACTGTTTTGTTTGCTGTGTAAAGGTTTCATGAAGGATATAATTTTTACCGCTTATGCCACTCTTAGATGCATTTGTTTGTTTGTTTTTTATTTTTGCTTATTTTTTTGTCTTCAAAAAAAAAATGGTGGACAACACAGGCAGCAAGCTTGCACAAGTTGGAAGCTGAAAGTAGTGCAGCTGGCAGAAAACTGGAAGAGGCTGTCGCTAGAGGAGGTAAGAAGCCTTTCCTGTCCATTAGAGGGCCTTTCCATTAGGTGTTATAAAAAAAAAGGTTATCTCAACAGAAATGCACTGTAGAGGCTTTTAGATGGTTTGATGGTTTTTAATACTGAACAACCAATTCACTGGCTTGGAAAATATTTCAATATATTGTTTATGTGTTTAAAAATCAAACAGAAAGATCATTAAAGACCAAAATTGCGGAGCACAAAAAGGTAGTTGCAGGTTTTGAACGAGAACGTGGAAAAACAATAGATCTAATTGGCAGAACAATAGCCCAGCACGTGCGTTTTAAAACTTTGTACATTTCTTAGCCGTCCTTTGCAAAACAACAACGTGAAATCACCAAAATTTGCGTCGTCTGCGAAGCGAAACCGCGGCGGCAAATTATTTTAATTTACATTTGGAACTCAACGCTACTTTTATGCGTTATGTTGAGTTTGAGGTCTGGCGCCCTATGAGACGGTAAACACATGCAGCCATTTTCGAAATTCTAACTAAAAGTAGAAACTCATTTTTTAATCGACGTCTTCTGTGGCGTTGCCGTCCTGACTGCTTAAAGTCCCTAATATCGAGGAACAGTGCAACGTGGATTACCCCCTCGCAATATGCACTATGGATCAAGGGAGCATTTCTGGCAAAAATGCGTATTGGATTTTAGAGAGAACGATACTAGTTCTAGATGATAAGAAGGGTGGCCAGGAACCAGAAAGATATATCAATAAACATTAATGATAAAGATATGAGATGCAAATGAATTGGTTAAGGATAAAAGCACAATTATTGAAATCACGGAATTTAGTGCTAACATGAAGTGAATAAACATGATCATTCAGTATCTGGCGGTTTATTTGAGTTTTTGCCCTGTCACGCTGAGTAGGGCTTGTCGACAGGCCAAAAGCTTCGCCGTGCCTTCACGCAAAAGGCAAACCTTGATCAATTTTGATTCAAGGGTGGCAAAAAGTTCTCACGTAACACGTGATAAGCCTAAAATCAATATGTGACGCGTAGATTTTACAGAAAGGCGAGGTAAGGTAAATTTTGAAGTTTTCCCTTTTAATTTCCTGACGCGTAATATACAGTTAAAATTACACGTGGCGTGTGAATTTTTCTGAAGTTCGTGTGTGGAACGGGAATTCGACCCCATCCTTTGCAATCCTCAGGGTAGGGCCTGTCAACAGAGAAGAAAGCTTTTCCGGGCCCTCACGCGAAACACAAACGAATGACCATGACTAATCGTTACTTAAGAGCGACATCCTATACCACATTGCTTTTACATCATCATGGAGTTTTCTCTGTGACGCACGGGAACTTTTGGGGCACGTAAACGTAGAATTTAGGGAGGTGACGTACGTGCCTGTGAACACTTACCGGGTAACATGAACGTAGTGCCGCTTTTACAGTAAATTGAGTAGAATGATCGGATATTTATCGATCCACCAATGTAGATTACCACTGACAAAAGATCCCGCAAAAATTTACCACCCACCGGTCAAGAGAAAAAATCTGCGCGTGAATTAAACGTTAATTTGTAACCTTCGTAGTCAGACTAGTTCGAGTTGCACTTCGAACAATGCTGTGCACTCCCCTTAGTACAAAACTAAAGCGGACCCGGATTACTTTCGACACCAATTGGACTTTACTCTAACTCGACAAAGTAAAACAATTAAAATACAGTGGTGCGTTTCCTTTTCACGATAGTGTTCTCCTGCTCGAATGGTTTCCAACAGAAATTGCTGTCATCTCGAGCAGGAAAGATTTGTTTCTCCAAGGACCAAAAATCATTGATTTGAAAAATAGACTTGCGAAATGTTCGTTCACCTCGGTAAATCACCTTCACCGCTTTTTTTTAAAGCGTTTCACGTAACGTTCCTATGTATTCTCGTGCGCATAAAAGTTATCCTATCGAAAATGAAAAATGCTGTTATTTCAATTCTCTTTATTGAAATTGTATCTTTACTCAAAGTAACAGCGAAATGACTCACAATAAAATTAATTGAGCAATCTGCATGCGTCACTCAAACTACAGTTAAACCCAGTTAGACTAACTCATTTTAAGCCTGTAAACCACTTGCCACCTCTTAACTATAAACCACTATAGTCTCTCGGCTTAAATCTTATTCCTTCTTATAGTAACCCCCAAATTAAACTTTAAAGTCATGAGAATAAAGGAATTGTTCGCCAACCAAGAAGCTCTAGCTCATCATTGTTTGTAACTACCATAGGAATTGTATAGAGCAGAGTATAGACAATATGTACACTGATGTTAGAGTTTAACTGAGGGTTTGAGTAAACAAAAATCAAAGTTCAGCCAATCAGAAGGAAGGAAATTATCACAAGGAGCCAATGAGAACTCAAAACAACTGGATGCGCGGGAAAACGCGCGTCAACGAATCACCGTTGCGTTAATTTAGTTTTGAGCGCCAAAGTAATCAGAACCGCGAGTTTTCTGGACTTATCACCGTGAAAAGTTAAGTAAACCAGATTACTTTCGACGCTCATTAAAAATCCTTTGATCCTGTTATTATGAATCGGGAAAATAAAAAGGTTTTAGGGGGAACTGTGTCTAGCAGTTTACGGGGGTAATTGATGCTTAGCTATATAAGATTCAACGCTAAGATGCTGCCAGCGCTTCTTTATGTTAAAGAGTATATTAAAAAAAATACTTTAACTAAAATATACTATCAATCTGGCCGCTAAATTCATGAATTTCATAACTTGGAAAACTGGCCAAGATCTGAAGACAACTGAAAATGGAATAAGTTGACGATTTTGCACAATTCTCGATTTTTCCCTTAACGTCCGTTACAAGAATAACCCATCTAAGAGAAAAAGATTTAGAAAATGTCCAGGGAATGTCCATTAATTAAAGAGCAAATCGACTTCGTGTAAAAAATTAGCGCGGTGAATGCAGTCTCGCTTTCAGAGCCGCGATCCTTTCAAATCAGCGGCACAGATCAGCCCTGAAAAGCCCACTGGGAAACAATTTTCTCTAACTTCTGATTGGTTGACCAATTTTTGCCAGACATGGCCCTGACTGAAAGGATCGCGACTCCGGAAACAAGATTACAATGAATGCCGTTTTATTCAATGATGGGCCTTGTACTGGCATCAAAAGAAACTGTCGTAGCAGACTGAAACAAAAATCGAATGTTCTATGTATCAGCGCTATCCCAACTGTGAGCTCGGGATGATGTCATCTTGGTTGACCTTATTAAGCTAGCTGTTGGTTATATGAGCTAAACACTGCCAATGCTATTATATAAATATAAAATTGTTGAATTGTTCATTTTCGCATGTACAGTTGGGAATCTTTGGCCCAATCTTTAGCCAGCCACCGTAACAGCTTTTGAGGTCGACTGCTTCCCACAAAGTCACATCCCCAAAAAGGCCTTGGCCCTTACACTTTCCGTGCTTGTTCATGGCGTCGTGTTGACACTCAACACAGATCGGCTTTAGTGGATCAAGCTTGTCTGCCCACGTGTTTTTACAGTGCGGATGCTTGTAGTAAACCTTGTAATTTATACAATAGCTTGGCCTGCACGATGAACAAACAATAGCTTTGTTAGATTTTCAAAACAATATAACATGGTATGAAGATAACCAGTACAGCAACGTATTAACAGTAACCGTTACATTTTGTCTTTCAGTAACATTATAATATTGTTGATAGTACGTGTAATGGTTTCAAGTGAGGCCTTTAGCTACTGTATAAAAAATAAGCTTCCAAGCTTTCGCCGATCCACGGCGTCATCAGGGATAGAAAATATTTTTGGTATATACTATACTGCTGTCTCTAAATTTCGGTTGGTACTCAGGTGTGATGTAGTAGTAGACAAATCAAATGAACAAGAAAGGCTAAGAAATATGACACAGAGGGGAGTGTAGGTGTATGTGAGGTGCCCTAGAGAATGAGGTAAGGTCTAGCTTTCTACCAATATATCACACCTCATAAATGCCCCAACATAGACCAAATAGAAACATGGCTGAAGTTTAGCCTGCAGAACAGGTGTAAATGTTATTATTTTTATTGATCTATTTTGTTTTGTTTTGTTTTTTGTTTGTTTGTTTGTTTGTTTAAAGGAGAGCGTAGGCAAGCGCGAGGCGAGGGCGAATTTCGAGTCACGTGGAAGGGTATGAGCACAAAAGAGCTTTTTTTGCGCTCGTCCGGCGCGTGTGATCCGCACTTTTTCGCGCTTGCCTCTTAGTTGCCTCCGTCCGCTCAAAAACTGCAAAACAAAGATATTACACCTGTTCTGTAGGCTACGAAAGCTAGGCCGGAATGGAAAATATTTTCTATCCCAGATGATTCCATGGAAACATTATGCAGTTACGTGACAGCTTGAAACCACTACCATTAACAGCCGGTAATAGCAGGCATTGCAATCACAGTTTCTTCAAATTGTGTCTTATTAGAACCAGTTTTATTTTAAATTGAATCTAAGAGTTGTAAAAAGGAAAACCAATTACCAAATTGCAAGCTATGACGGGCAGAGCAACAATATCGAGGCACTGGCAAAAACACTTTGCAGGTAGAACGAACAGAACTCTTACTACCTCTTTGGTGCCTTCGTCGTCTTCACTTCTTCCTTGGGCGCTGGTAGGATTTTGTCCCACACTGAAGGAGCGCGATCTTTCTTGAACTTATGCGGTAAAATTCTTGCAAAACCTAAAAATGAAAATAATCATTGAGTATCACGTACAATTGTCCTGTTTTTCTCCCGTTCTTCCTTACATTCTCCTTGCCTGCAAACTCCGGTTCTGTTTGTGAATTGGACTTTAGAGCATTCTTCGCGATTTTTTGTGTTGAGTCTAAAACTATGGCTTACAGTTAGTAGATAAAGATGTTGCACAATCTAACTGTGCCTTGTCTATTTTGAGCTAATCTTTATGTCTTCCAAGCGCAAGAAAGCACTTGAAAAAAAAATAAATAAAAAAGATAAGAAAAATTCCAGAAGCTTCCTTAATCAATAGCTTACCTAATTCTCTGCCTCCACAAAGTTGTCTAAAACATCCACTATTTTCTATGAGCGGGGGACATTCTTTTCCACCGTTAATTGGTCGGAATGCCACAGTCCGGGTCCTTTGTCTGACGCCTAAGCCGCACCGCGGATTACAGGGACCCCAATCAGACCATGTAGAAACTACGCAATCTCGTTTCACTGTTAAGAAAATTGAAGGGAACTACTGACGACGGTTGATCAAAATACAGGTTTTTACTATCAATTTTCCCTTTCCAGTGCCTTTTTTCTGTTACTTGCTACCTCCCCTTCGAAGCACGAAGTCTATCGTATTTCATAGCGCCCCCTGATTGTGTTTAAAAACAAACTAGAATTAATTTAAGAACGAGGTTATAGTAACAATCACGATAACGGTAACGGATGACAGTGACGCTAAAGATAACGAATATCACCATAACCATGACAAGGATCAAATAACTTTGCTCGCTCGTCTTAACGCATCACGAGATCGACTATACCCCAGCTAAAACTGAGGAATATCCCAGGATATGAACCAAGTGATATTCTCCAATTTCAATCCTTGGAGTGGATCAAGCACTCTCATGGGAAGCCCATATCTCCAAGGTCGCCAGTAAAATTCGGCTAAAGTAATTGCTGCCCTTAGGAGGCTAAGACCGATATGTCCCCAAGGTACCCTAGTCACAATTTATAAGTCACTGGTTCTTCCACACTTCAACTATTGCAGCGCTGTGTGGGGATGTATAGGAAATGGCCTCAGTCAAAAATTGGAGAAACTACAAAACAGGGCGGCACGTATAATAACAGGGTCTGGTTGGGATGTCAGATCTACCCAGATTCTTCGTGCCCTCAAATAGGAAAGCCTCACTGACAGACGTGCAAAACAATTGAAATCTTTAATGTTTAAAACTGCTGCTAATAACCTTGTACCCGAATACCTGTCTGACAAATTCACCAGCGTAAATACCATCCACAGGCATAATTTACGGGGCGCCCAACACAACTTGTTTATTCCGCGGCCGAATACTGAGGCCCTCAAAATGAGTTTTCGTTATAGGGCTGCAGCAGCATGGAACAGTCTGTCAGTTGACGCTAAGCAGGCCACTATCTTAAATAGCTTTTATTCTTCTATTGTATAATATTAATAACTTAATTTAAGATTTCTTCTTAATAGATTGTAGTTTTTAAGTCATAGTTGTAAAATATTAGCTACAACATGTTAAGGGTTAATAAGCACGGCTCTTTTGAAGACCACTTTTCTTTTAGTGATAAGGATTCCGTGATTAAATAAAGTGATTGGACCTTACGTCTACAACGATAAAGGAGTTCATATTAAGATTAATTCAAGCGACTTTCTTTATCACGAGCCGCAAGAAACAACAAGTTCCAGTCGAAGAGCACAAATCACGGTTCCATTGAACTTAAAATACCCATAAAACCATACTCAGACTTCTCTCATTCCAATAAATCCGTCATTAAGATACACAAGATAATGGCCAAATCCATTCCTAAAATAAATCATTACAAGGCCAAAAGCAGAATTGATCCGCACCAGAACCGGAAATAAACTAGGAATGCAAAGATTTATTGGTAGACCCTAGGATTAGGACTGTGGAGAGAAAAATGGTCAATTTTAGCCCTTTTACTCCAGCAAGTGATCAAGACAGAATTTCTCCTTGCAGCATCAATGCAATATCAAGCAGACAAGTGATGAGAATAAAGAAAAATATCAAAAAAAAAAGGAATACAATCTATTAACTGATCCAACTCTAAATTCTTGGAACTAATATCAGGAGAATTATATAGCAGACAGTTTGGAGAATTGTTAAAGAGATCTTGGGGCGGTACAATAGTGCTGAGGAATTAATCATTCCCGCACTCGAGAAGAGTCTTAAGTAGCTCAGGGGTATTTAAAAAGAAGAAGCTTATTAGGGCACTTGGCATTAATTACGGACAGATTTACTCCTAACAGATTTAATTAAGACTGTCGGGAATGTTCCTATGATAGCATGCAATAGCGATTTTTTTTTTTTTTTTTTTGTGGTTGGAGAAGCCCGCAAACAACTATGCAGATATTTTGAGTTGCGGTTGATGAAAGCAGAGCAGGAATTCATGTCAGTCATTGAAGGATTATTTACACTTGCCACGCTCAAATCACTCCGGAATGAAACATAATTCCGATCATTTCGTGAAAGAAGATTTGCGGTGTTTTGAGCGTTTCAGATGAGAAAAGACAATGAACAGCGAAATCATAAACACCTTCAAAGAAATGACAGGTTAACGAGAATTTCTATAACTTCCTATGTTAACATGCCTTGGGTCTTCATCGATACCACACATCTGCTAAGGTTAAGGTAATTACCAGATTAGATTTTAAGTCCACTTTTACAAATTAATCCGAAGCATGTCGCCACCTTAAATAGAATTAACCCGCGTATTTCTGGGGGAAGGGGTGGGGTGTCGGACAGATTTGAAGGGAGGGGTACGGAAGTTTTACTTTGCCGATGTATCTTGTGGCATTACGCAAAGAATCATCAAAGATATCTCATGCACTGCGAGGTTCGAAGTACTCGTCAGTAGAAATAAAATATTTAGTTGACATGAACAAAAAGCACTTAGAGCTAAATGTTTTCAGTTTTGCTGTGTGTCCAGTTTTGGATCAGCAGCTCGTCATTGGGAAAGTTCCCTCCGTGTACTTATTAGGCGTGAGTTGCGCGAGGAAACGCAGAAAAAGAAGACGTTTTCTTAGGGAGTTCACTTGTCATAGTTTTTCCATTCTACTGAATTTCTTGATTTAAAGACAATTTCATCTGGTAAAGGGAGGAATTTCTTTTCCTGATATAAATCTTTGTGAAAAACTGCTCGGTTAGTATTAAGTTGAATGAAAATCGCGCGACTTCATATCTCGACAGTTTAAATATGGACTTTGCATTTTTCGTTAGCTTTTCTGCAAAAGAATGACGATCAAAGAAAGAAGATCTGCCCCTGGAAGATGTCTAAGATAGGAAGTAATTCGCGTTGAATTCATGGCATATTCACTTCGCGAGAGTTAATTTAAGGCTAAGAAGATTGAATGTTCCTCTTGTGGCTTGGACAAATTGAAGCAGGAAATGGTTGGGATAATCATACAATTGAGGAAAACATGCAAACAGAAGTTAAGTCACAGACGCAGGGTGATAGCATGAGAAAGCTGGCAAGACTGACAATGGTAAAGTCAGATTGGGGAGGGGGGCAGGGGTAAATTTAGGGCCGGACATTTACTATTTATAGAGCCATTAGTGTCTTGATTTCGAAAAATAGGACAATTTTCAAGCAGGAAACCATATTTAGTAGACAACATTGATGGAGAAGGCATACTCTTTAGTTCGGACTTTATGATATCCTTTCCAGGCACGAAACTGTGACGTATCTTGGAGACCAAAATCAGCTGGGAAGGTAAACATCTCCAAGAATTAAATCCGCAATTTGATATTTACCCATAAAGATTGTATGCCGAACGAAATCTAAAGATGAAAGGGCAAGATTGCTAGAAAAGTCGACGACTGTATCTAATTATTTAAGCCAGTTTATGGGCTTTTCTACAATAAGTATAAAGTAATCCGGTCTAATACCACTTAGTTAGGGGTATAAAAATTATGGCGCATGTAAACTACTAAGATTGATAGTTAAAGACTAAATTGGGTGGAAGACATCACAAACTCAAAAGGAGACAAGAAAAGGGATGCGACAATAATCGTATTGTTGGTCTGGCTCAATAAACCGACGCATGCAAAAATATTTCAGTGTCAATCAGTAGCGCCTTAACTATGTTCATGTAGCGAGTGAAACTATTCAAAAAAGCTCGTTATGTACTCCTCAACTGTCTTTTCTCAGAGTGTTTGTCCATTCAATGATAACAGGATTAATTTTCATAAACCGAAGACCGAAAGAACCCTCTCGATATATCTTGAGGAGCACGGCTTTAAGTCTAATAGGTTTTTGCAGCTAAATACAAGTTGATAAAGAAAGATTAATGAAAGAACAATGGAGAGGTAAGAGTTTCTAATTCTAGAAAATGTTGAGAGTTCCTCCGCAGAAAAAAAATTCCTGGCCTTTTTAGATCTATCTACTGCCAATAAATTTGAAGAATACTTTGAGGTTTGACCGCGACAAGGTCAGGCCCGTGAATGAGCTTACAATATCAATCGTCTAGTTTTGGAAATATTCTTGGTGTACAAGCTGATACAACAAATTCAACAAGTTTCCGTTTGTGTTTTTTTTTTTCCATTTTTTTTACAGTCTAATTCCAGTAATGTTTCTTTGTTGTTGTTCGAGTGTTTCCCCGGTAAAAGGGTCATTTGCCAGACTAATTGTAAATATCCTTAGAGGTAGATGTTTTGACTGCGACTGGACACTAACCCATGAATGGAGAGATATACATTACGATTGCTCAGTTTATGATATCTAATTAATCTCGATGTTGCAAGTTAACAAGATATTCGTCCGCCGGGAACTGTAATTGGCCCACCGTCCAACCTAAAAATTTTGCGAGAGCTTCTTTCTACTCATTGCCGATTTTTACGTTTTGCGGGAACACATTTTTGCCGTTCGAGATAAATGAAATATCTCCTGAGAAGAATTTTGGGATTTTCTGTTCAAGAAGCAAAACAAAAAAAGAAGAGATTTAAGTCTAGTTGTTCTAACTTTTCGACTTAAACCAAAAGAAGTGACGCGTTTGATGATTTGAAGTTGGTCGCTTCGAGTGTTCTGAACTCATGTGGAGAATAAGAATTTGCCCGTGCCTAGTAAGAGTTCTTCATTTAACTGCATGAAGAGAAGAATTCAATTTGCGGCGTTTGATTCCACAGGACTATTTTTCAGAAGTAACTTATCTAAACAGATCGGCGAGGGAACTAGTTTTATCGGATTGAGGAATATCCTTCAAAATTAAGTCCACCCGGTATTCACGACAAAATCGAGTTGCCCTTGAAGAAAGTTCAAAGTTACATCGTAGATACGAAGACTCAGAGTATTTGCTGATATTTATAACCCCATTCTTTCACGTTATTGTTCAGGGGTGCTGATAACACGCGAGTGTAGTGATTTTGAACATGCAGCCGTGTTCATGCCTATTCGCGTGTACTCGAGAAGTCAGATATTATCACAATAGATTCCGGGTTTTACCAGAAAAACACGTTTTCCATGCATGAGGTAGAAAGCTTCTTCTCTGCATCACTGATTAAACAAACCCTCAGGGCTTAATTTGATTCAAGGCTCATCACATAAATAAAATACTTAGAACTTATTTGATTTGTCTATGTAACTGTTCTCCTTGTTTTTATCTCCCTAAACATTGTCCATAAGTGCTCAGATTTTATCGATCATGTGACAATAGTGACTCGCGGCCAAGTTTGACTACACATAATGCACCCACTCAAATTAAGAAAACCATTATAAAAGAGAAGAAGATAAACAAAATGCATTGGCGCGTTTTGAGTTTAAAAATGATACTTTGGATTTATCACAAGGCTTTGGTGAGTGGAAACTCAACCATAGCTAGACTAAATTGTAACAAGACCCTACTTAATTCTACTTACATTACTTTAAGATGACCTTCATCCTCAAAACAAAGCGAGAATTCTAGCAACTCACCATTTCCCCAGCCACATGGTCTCTTTACACTTTCAAAATCAGGACAACAGTCCCTGGCCGATTCACAGAATTCGTCGCAGTAGCAAATAGTGTTATGAACATAGTCCTCCATGCCACAACTGCTGTTTCTACCGCCGCAGCAGTGAAGAGGACCGCCATGATCTCTTTGATCACAGCAATGAACGGGACCTCCGCTTTCTTCCTGAACGCAAGCTCCGTCGGCTAAAGAACATAACGAAAAACTAAGGACCAAAATGAGCATCAAACCCTGACGTTTCGTGCAATCCATTGCTCAAAACGTGTTGTTACTCTCGCTCGAGCCGGACGTCTGGAAAAAATCTCAATAGCCGTCTTATTTACCACGAAATGCGTAAAATCAGGGGATGACCCGAGGTGTTACGCCGGAAGTTTCAAATGTTTGCCCCTTTTTCCTTGGCAGCGTGTCAAAGTGCTAGGATAAAAAATATTTACGGTGACAGAAGGCTTTTTTGGGCACACAAAAAGACTTGTGTTCACGCCGTGGGTTTGACAGCACGCTAAAAGTGGCTGACAGATCGCAAACACACAAAGCTTTATGTTAAGCACGTCACTCTGTTTTCTCAACAAACTACGGGGTGCTTAAAATTAAGCGGGAAATGGAGGAATCTTGGCAATGTCCGCGCTCTATGAAGCCTCTTTGTACAGCTTGTCGTAAAGCGGTTTCAAAAGGCCGGCATTTTGAGTACTTAGTCGCTAAGTTAAGATCTACCCAGAATAGCGTGTTACAAATCGGCTTCTCGAACAAACCGCAAGGCTGGGGGAAGTGTATTTCTGTAGGGGTCCACTCTCTAGGATGTATCAAGTATTGTTTTACAACAAAATAAAGTTATTTACGACTGACGAAACGTAATCTACAAGTTTTTGTGTAGAAAATTCACTTAACAATGAGACCGTGATAAAAGGGGCGATTCCTAAAGATCAATTAAGTGTTCTCGAGCACAAAATTCCACTATAGCACAAATCTAGACGAGAAAACACAGCTTTTAACCACTTTTCACAAATGACTTTACGCACATTTGCTGGTCGTGAGCATTTTAAATTGTTTAAGCTAAGTGAGTTTTCCTCTTCATCGTCGTTGCAACAAAGTTCATTGCCATTTCATCAGTTCATCATTGTCATCACGTTTGATTACTTTTTCGTCACACACCTCATAAAAGGGTCAGTTTTTTACTCCCAAGGGAGGCAAGAAACTTTTGTGGGCAGTCTGTCAGAAGGAGGGATGTGTTAATATGATTCTTTGCAGCTTTTTATGCCGAAATATATGCGATTGTCTCGAAAGTAAAACTGTAGTTGAAGTGCGTGTGAAGTGCGAGTGAAGTCTATAAAAATCTACTGTTGAAAGAAGCCTGAAAAAATACAGGCCTCGATCTTATTTGTACCCGAGCCTTCCAGACACTAGTTGGGCACTACAAAGCTAAGCCAAATGACGGCAGTTCGAAAAAATTTAATGGGTTCTAAGAACCCTGCCTGAAAAGGAGCTTTGGGTTTCATTCGAGCCACATAATATTACTGTTGGACAACTTATAAAGTTTCTCGTAATATTCTTTTTTTCTCACAAAGTCTATGTTAGGACAAAACAAAAAAATCGGATGTATAGTGGAACAAAAATTTCGTTTCCAAACAATGATGGCAAACCCTGATTTTACTTATCCTCCTTATTAGACAATAACTTCAAAGTGTCTCGGCCCAAGCATTGGCTCAGAGCCTGAATTCTGATGTAGCGAGTGTCTTCTTTGATTCTGTAAGATAAGCAGAGCTAAAGTCAATTGGGGAAATTACTAAAAATAGAAAAAACAAAGGTCGTTTTGATTTGTTTCATCCCGCGAGAAAGTTCTCAAATAGTCAATAACATAATTAACGAGATAATAGATCGCAAAGATAAATTAACAGAAAGAAAAAAGTTCAGTTGCGCATTAAAGAACAAGGTTCACTTCACAACAGAGTGAGGGGGTGTAAAGTTGCTACGTTTTTCCGGTTTTGGTCATGTGTGACATAGACTTTGGGTTTTTTTGGTGTACTCTAGATCTACAATTTTTCTGTTTGGTATCCGTTGCGGCTTTCTGTTATTCCCTTTTTATAAAACGCGGATTTTCGATCGTCTTCTAGATCTAATCAATCACCTCGGTCGACTGATCACCTTTTTCTCGGTGGTGTCGCGGTTTTTATGAAAATCCGTTTTGGTAGGTTTTCCAGTTTTGTGATGGCCACAAAACCCCTCACGCGTTTCTTGTAATGCCCAACAATGGTCAATGTACGCTGCTAGGAATATTTTCCTTTGCCACTTCAAAAAAAGGGCGGATAACTTCCGAAACCACCGAGGTGCACCTTTTCCTTAGAAGGGAGACTGTAAAGAAAGATGTTTCATTTTGTCACGAGCGTGGGTCAAAATCAAAACAAAAACGATGAAGAAAAATTTAAGAAGCATAGTGTTCACTATATCACTTCTTCCCTCTGCTCCAGGAGTTTTCAAACTACGTTTAGACATGCACACGTCCTTATACACTCAGCATTCGGAACAAAGCAACTGTATCTTTACTCGGGCTTGACGCTAAATCCGCTTCTGTCCCTTTCGTGATCGAAAACAAGTGTTCATTTCAGATAAAGAGGCGTGGAGCCAAATGCGGCGGAACTAAACAATGGCGCAGTTGGAGCAAAATTCAAAATCCCTCATGGATTTGGCTGTTTCGGAAATAACTATCCTGTTATTGTTTAAAATCAATAGAAAACCAAAACCAAAGAAATTTTTCTATGATTAAAAACACCTAACATCAGATAACTTGAACCGGGCGCAAGTGTGTGAAGGGACAATCTTAGATTTTGCCTCCTCTAGACGAAGTGATTCTTTCCCTCAACAAGACAAAAGCTAATACAGTCGAACCTGTATTTTTTTTTCCCCTCAAGTACTTCAATTTTCACCCCTATCAAGCGGTCGCCTATATCAAGCGGTCGTAGTGTCAACCCCTGACCGAGCTCCTAAGGCCTGTTTGTGCCGTTTTCAGCTGCTTTAGAGCGAAACCACTCAAAATAAGAATTTGAGCGTTTGAGGCCTATTCTGTGGAACCTATATTTAGCGGTCTCCCCGCCATTCCCGTGGGTGTTCGCTCAAACACAGGCAGCCCAAGCTCACTACTAGAAAAGCGGACGTGACTCTTAGCGTGTTGCGCAACGTTTTATATTTATAAAGGTTTGTATGGGATGTTATCGGTTTGCCTTAAAAGAGAGGAAAAAATGTCTTGTTTTGAAATAAAATGGGCTTACCTTATTGCCTTGTTGTTTTCTTTGTTGATTCCTCGCGTCTCAGGCCATTTTGAAGCGTTTTCGGCGAGTTAGCGCTATTGTTGGTGTTCAACTGCAAAAGGCAATAAGGTAAGCCCATTTTATTTCAAAACAAGACATTTTTTTCTCTCTTTATCGGCAAACCGATAACATCCCATACAAACCTTTATAAATGTAAAACGTTGCGCAACACGCTAAGAGTCGCGTCCGCTTTTCTCGAAGTGAGCTTGGGCTGCCTGTGCACTAAACCGATGCTTCTTGGCTGTTTAACAGTAAGTATGGCTACACGTGTAAGGAGAGGCGGTCTCTTTCTTGCTGGGTTTCCGGATAACTGTCAGCTGAAGATGACTCTCGGCAGCGGTACTTACGCCAGAGCCGGGGGGGGCGTGTACTCCCTTATAAGGGCTTAATGGGGACGTGCGGCCAGCCAGGGTATGTTTTTCGAGATTTTTTTCTTGAACAGGGTATCGAATTCATCATTGTTTATCTTAATCAGGGTATCGATTTATCAATTTTTGTCTTAAACAGGATATCTTTTCTTGGAAGATAAACAGCAAAATTTTTACAAGCTCTAATTTGAATTAATATTGAATTCCGTTGATTTCGGTATTGATACCAGGCACATTAAATGTCTTAAACAGGGTATCAAAAATCGGAATTCTGTCTTAAACAGGGTAGGAAAATCAGCGATATTTGTCTTAAACAGGGTCAGGGTATAAGGGGTCGCGCCGCGCCGCACCTCCCCACCCAGGAATATATCGAGTACACCCCCCCGGGCGCCAGAGATAATTGAGGAAAGTGCGTGATTTAACTTGATCTGCGCTGGCAAGTTGATTACAAAGTAACTTGAGGGCCGAGTTTAAAGAAAAACATGTCCCCTTAACTGTCTCTTGATAGGGCTTATTGAAAATTTGCGCATACCTTTTCGTTGCTAAGTTGTCACCTGCTAGACAAATACATTTATGTTTGCTTGCGAGCTTAATCATGTCTGCCATTTTGATTTACAGAGTAACTAAAAACCTCAACAGTGCTTCACAGTTGTCTGCACGTCAAAGAGAAGCAAAATAGGAAGACTTTTAAACTGAACAACGATTCTATGACTGGGACTGGAGATGTAATCTGAGAGTCTACGAATTCTTAATTGCTTTCAAACAATTGAACCCCGTTTAGTTTCATTTGCTATTTATTAATTTACTTATTTCCTTCACTTAATGATAACGTCCCGCAATAGCTTGCAATGAACGACGTGGCGATAATTGATGTGCAGAATATTTATTTTCCCATATTTTTCGATAAATTATGTTTCTTTCCACAAGCTTTTGCCATTAAAACATAGGTAACTGCACTATCTCCAGCCAATTTACTTTCAGGTGGAAGTATACTCCAGAACTGAAGTCACGTCATTTTTATCTCACTCCCTCAAAAACTACACTATAAAAAAAAATATTTTTAACCGTGTTATGAGATTCGAAAGAGTAACTTTTTCTTTTAAAAACTAGCCTGAAATGTGCTATGAATTTTGACAATGGCACCGCCAATTTTGAGAAATAAAAAAAAAGAAAGAAATGAAATCAGTAACCTAGCCACGCATGCTCAAATAGCAGGAAGTAACCACGCACTTCACCGAAGACCCACTGAAGGCTGCTGCAGTGGTTATGGCAGGAAAATACGCCATTTGAGTGGAGAATGACCATATCTATAGCTCCTAGTTATTCAACCAGATCGCCATTGATAGAAAAATAAGGAGTGAGTTACGTCCCCAGTGAGCAGACTGTTTGTTAAGCAAAATTAAGATTCAAAATGCCGGCGTCCGTACACGATTTTTTCTTCGCATAGAAGTGAATTTTCCACAGGTTTCGTTTCTACATGGAATCTGAATACGCAGTTAGTTTCAAAATTTCAAATAGCTTCTAATGATAAGGTTAAAAGCTACATGATTTCCGGAGCATACTTCTTCTACTAACGTGGCTATCAGGAAGAGCAATTTTCAATATTGAGTGTCAATCCAAAATTGGTTTGGTTTCACTTCGCTCTATGATTGGTCGGTCTAAAATACTCGCGCCAGCCTCGCAACCAATCAGATTCAATTAAAATAATTGCGACTTTGGTCAGCCGCGTTTTGCCGCGCTTCAACCAGTTTGCTTGCTTTCACTTGAGGTCCTCGTTGGCTGGTGATAATGTAAACCTTTCTACTAGTTAGTAACTGTAATAATTTTAATTTTGGTTCTTCGACACTCAATTAAAAACTGCCCTTAATTTCTTCTGAATTGACTCAATGTAAAACCTCGCCCTAAAGCTCTCAACTCAGACGTCCCTTGGACACGTTTCCAAGTGTTTCAGTCATCTTTGAACTCGACGATATATTTTCTCAGTTTTTCCTTCCTCTTTGGCGACAAATCGTGCAGTGGTGAAGAGAAAATCGCTCAGCCTTTGAAAGAAAAAAAGTAAATAAAACAGCTGTCAAAAAGGACCGAGTCCACAGAAAATTTATATTAAAAAATGGGCGTGAGAATCCCGCAAACACAAAAAAGCGGTACGTTCCAGTCCGATATGTCACAGCATTGGGGATGAAAAGAAAAAAAACTTAATCACTCATTAGGGGGACAAGATGATTTGGTTTGATCAACTGAGTTTGCGATGTAAATTGGCCACCGTAAAGAGTTTAAAAGCTGACGTTTCCGGCGTTAGCCTAACTTTGGAGCGAACGACCAAAGACTGATACTGGCCAATGTAGATTAATTCAGCTGATTAAACCAAATTATCTTGTTATACCCTCCCCCTTACATAAAGGAAGCAAACTGGGCTCTGACTAGTAAAAACTTACATTACTTTTTTTTAACCTCCTGACAAAGAAAAATCTGAGAAATGAATCCAATCTTAAGATTACCTGTTTAAGAAAGTTCCAACATGTGGATCTACGCTTCCACTCTGGACCAAAGGAACAACTCTAAACAAGAAAACCACAAGCAACGAACAAGTTAAACTTTACAAGGAGTGATCCTTTTGTGCATCAGCAACGCAGCCACATTACATTGTTGTGCAGTTGTTCACAAATGTAGAAGTCAATAATACAAGTTGAATTACACCTTTCAAAAGGTGTAATTCACCTTGTATTATTTTGTATTCTGTATACAAAGTATCTTTTGTATACAGAATCTAATAAATTGTAGCCAGTGTAGCTGGGGGTATTGTAAAGGCTTTACAGCACTGAATGGTGGATCTGCAAAAACTAGCAACAAAGCTGTAAGAGGTTTGGGATGGAAGAACCCCTGTTGCTCATTTTTGTGGCACCACTGTTTTTGTTTTCAACAACCCCCAATGAAAAAACCCACCCACTATACAAGCTACTGAAGTGAATAGAGGCATGAGAGGACAATGAGTCTACAAATTGTACAAAAATAACAACCCACCTTCTCTCAGCTCGACGACAAACTGATCGTGCTACATGTAACATTGCACTGCTTTTCCCCCCTGACTGAAAATACAAAACAAAACAAAACAACACAAAAAAAAATCTACATTGATCACTACTCTTTGACACTCAAGATTCACTTAAAAGGCCTTCCATTCTCAGGAACAGAAGACTTAATCAATAAACTGACTTGGCAGCTGTTATCATTTACTTGATATGAACAGTTATTTACTGTTTGCTGAGTTTCTTCTGCCTTTCATCGGGTTTCCCTGACAACATGTCAGCACCCATTTGTAATCCTGGGTGAAGAGAGGCACTCTGAGAGTAAAGTTTTTACATGAGAACACAACACATTGAGCCAACCAGACCTCTTATTCCAGGGTCTAGTGCACATCACTCAAAACTTCTCCCACCTGCAGCCAATAAGCATGTTCAAATTTTCCATGGACACCATTAAAACGTATTCACAATGTGTTGCTTAAAATTAAACTTAGTTGATTCTAGCCACCCAATTAAAACCTTTGTTGCAGACTCACTCGGCTTACACAACATTTTGACCCCTGTGATAACAAACATTGTTGTTGATAAGAGTACAGACCACACTAAACCACCGTTGTTTTGTTAAATAAGCAGATTAACACTTACTGGTAAAATAAAATTTCTGAGTGAAGGAAGTTGCATATGATAGGAGTCTATCCATTCTTCCAAAGTTTTCACATTCTCTTGGTTAAATTCAGTTTTTTCTGGAAAACAAAACAAAAATATATATTTTTCTATTTTCAAATTGATATAAACCTTGCAGAATGTTGCAAATGGAGCCAAAATGAACCTCCTTTTCAACAGCAACATAATGTGTAAGCACAATTTTTCCTAACGTCCCTAAATTTTCAGGCAATTTCACCACTGACCAACAAGTCGGAGATATATTTGAAATATCAATGAAAATAGTAGACATACAAAATCTCAAAAGAATGAGATAAAATCCAAAAGGGGAAGTAGTACGGTAACCTCACCATGTGAAAACAAAATAAAACAGATTGTAGATGGGTAAACTTGATAAATTTGGCTTACCATTGTTCATGTTTGTCTCAATCTGGACAACTGTGTGATTAACAATTCTAAAAAGTTATGGCATCATGACCTAATGAGCCAAATAAGTTAAAATTCAGCTCTCCGATCCAGTCAATAGGTATGTTTATTCTAGGAGGTTTATGTGACAGTCATTTTGCAGAAAGGTGGTTGCTCCTCCATCAATTTATACTTTACCTGTTAAAAAAAAAAATGAAACCTAGCCAACACAGCTGTCCATTTCATAGTCCCTGTGATAACATAGAAGCAACAGGCTGATTTAACCAACCTTCTTTTTCATAAGATTAACATGTAGCGTTGTTCCCCTTACCTATTTTCCTTTCAGATGAAGACTGCCGTGGTGTTGCAATATTTGAACCAATGTCCTGCAGAATACACTGAATCTGTAGAGGTTTGAAAATTGGTACAGTTGTTCCAAATTGAAAGTTAGGGGTTGTTACACACAAGAGTGCTGCTTGGGACATTTTCTCTAAAAGGCTTTAATTTTGAAGTACCAATTGCACGAGGAAGATCACCCACACCCAAAATGAAATGTGTTCATCCTGTTACTTGCTAGATCTCATTAGTGATTCTCCTTACTGTCTGTCATATGATTCTCATATTGTTAATTTGGAGAATTTGGTATTGGATCGACGAATAATCCTGATTTATTTTTGATTTTATATTGATATTGTAAAGAGAAATTTGGTCTTGATCACTCATGGAAGTGAAAGTGTTTTAAAATCAGAATAAAATATTGGTAAATCCCAAAGATATATTGATTGTTAGCAAAGCAATGGAAGTCTTTACCTGTTCAAGTTTCTTCACAACATCTTTATGCCCTGCCTCTTCACAGAATTCACTCGCTAGTCTGTGACCAAACAAATCATTAAAAAATGCTATTAACCCTGTGGTTAGTGTAACCCTGTGTAGTGACTGACGTTTCAACAACCTGTGCGGAAGTCATCATCAGAGTCAAGTA